TCACATACGAGGTTATTGTTATACGGAAGGACCAGTATTTTAGGAAGAAAAATGGTTGGGACTTTGAAACAGCTGATATGCTTTATGTAAAGCAGTGTTTTGGTGTCAGCAGAACGACTTTCCCTAGAAATCTGTACAGTGGCTCTTTCTCCATTCCACCAGACAATCTTGAGTCTGACAGACATGCAATGTTGACAATGTATCATCAGATGTACCCTTGTGTCACTGAGGTTGAATGTTTTGCCATGACATGTAAGCGGGTAACATATATCAATGTAACTTACTCAATCGATAGATGCAGAGCAGAAAGGTCAGCATGCGTTCATGCTAAGTGGTGTGGAAACACTAACAGTTTTGAGGAACCCGTCCTTGACCCTCTAGCAGAACTACGACCAGCCATTATAAAGCAGTTTATAGTTGTTAATGTTGGGTCAAAGGGTACGGCATTTAAACATGTTCTTGCACAAGTTTCCTGGCTTCATCTCCACCCGGACAGACATTTTTATGGAAAGCCAATAGAAGTTTGGGGCTTGCAGGGAACAGACACGTCATACCCAGCATCATTTCTGCCAGTTGAGCGCATTGCTACAAGATGTGTGGTTAATACACCCTCTGTGCATTTAAGTAAGACCAAAGAAAAGGTCACTGTAGTCCTGCCACTATGCACTGTAGTTGAGCTCTAGGAGACTGTGATCTCTGCAGACCCCTCATGCTGATTCAAATGTTGTTTGCATGGAATGCTCATTTTACCTTGATTAAAACTCATTTTTTAAAGAAGTTATTTTGTGTATCTTTATTACACATATTTGCCATTGCTAATGGCGTACACAGTAATCTAGCATATTTGAATTAAATAAATCAATTCAAGCTAAAATGTAAGAGTGTATAATTAGGCTACTGAGCCTGATCTATTTGTACCAGAGATTTTCTTACCTTTTAAAAAAATGTCACCTGGGCTAAAACTCCCTCTGCGACCCTGATTTGCATTTGTATAGCTCACAGCATTTTCATTTACATGTCAAAGCCTCCCCTAGAATAAGGAGGAGGGGGGTGATGGGGGGACAACTGCCAAGGGAGGCCCACGTCAATTTCTGACAATTTACGGCAGTTTTCGGCGTTGCCCGCAAATTGCCGCAAACCTGAAATTCCACGACAATTTACAGTGCCGCATACTGCCGAAAATCCCACTTTTCATGCAGTGTTAGGCACATCATTCCTTTCCAGTGTTCAGTGGTTAACCTGCTATGTTGGTTAACCTGCTATGTTTCCTGCAGGATTTAGTAGACCAGGGCAAAGCTTTTTCTACTATTAAAGTATATTTAGCGGCTATCTCAGCCTGTCATTTGGGCTTTGGTGAGAAGACGGTGGGGCAGCACCTTTTAGTATGTCGTTTAATGAAAGGTGCTCGCCGTAAGCTCCCCGTCTCCAGGCCCCTGGTTCCCCTGTGGGATCTATTGGTGGTGTTGGAGGCCCTCTCTCAACACCCGTTTGAGCCGATGGAGGCAGCGGAGATGAAATTTGTTTCACTTAAGACAGCCTTGCTCTTGGCTTTAACCACAGCAAAGCGTATGAGTGACTTACAGGCTTTGTCCATTCGCCCTTCCTGCTTACAGTTCGCTCCAGGGCTCACTAGAGTCTGTATGCGGCCCAACCCGGCTTTTGTGCCTAAGGTGGTGGAGGCAGCGTACAAGTGTCCCACGGTAGAGCTTTCAGCTTTTCACCCTCCTCCGTTTTCCTCCTCAGAGGAACGAAGGCTTAACACGTTGGGTCCGGTGCGAGCACTGCATTTGTATGTGAGTAGATCGGCAGGTTTCAGAAAAGCAGATCAGCTGTTTGTGTCCTTGGCCAATTCTCACTAAGGAAAGCCATTGTCACGCCAGAGGCTGTCCCACTGGATTGTGGAGGCCATATCTCTAGCCTATGGCTGTAGGGGTTTGCAGCCCCCCCAGGGTTTGAGGGCTCATTCCACGAGGAGTATGGCCACTTCATGGGCCCTGTTCAAGGGGGTTCCAGTGCAGGATCTTTGTGCGGCAGCAAGCTGGTCTACACCTCACACTTTTGTAAGATTTTACAGGCTAGATGTCTCAGGGCCTTCCTTAGCACACGCTGTGCTAGAGGCCAACGCGCCAAAGTCCCTGTGAGGGTCATTACCGGGCTAAACAATCTTTGGCTTCGGGAACGGCATGCAATACGGGAGCGGTCTATATCTCCCATAGTGAAACACCGAACAAAGTTAGAAAAAGAACTTTGGGTTACTTAACGTAACCTTGGTTCTTTGATAACAGAGTGAGGTGTTTCACCACACATCCCTCCTTGCATTGACACAGAAAGAAATCGGTCTAGAATGATTTGCGAGGGGCGGTCGACTGTGATAATATGAGGGGGCGGGGCCCCAGCACAGTTCGACCTGTCTGTCACTGACAGACGTGGTGTCATTGGAGCTTCCTTAGTTGGTCACGCCGAGGCGATTCCCATAGTGAAACACCTCACTCTGTTATCAAAGAACCAAGGTTACTTTAAGTAACCCAAAGGTTTCCTATGACAGGATATTGAGGTGCTTGTGGACACATGGGATGGGGCATGAAATTATTAATGATTTTTATTGAGAAACACAATTTTCTCCACAGTATTGGGGTTGAGTCGGTTTCTTAAATACTGTTTCCCCAGCTTTAGAAAAAACACGCTCACACGGCACGGATGAGGCAGGAATGCTCATAAGATTACGTGCTAATACAAATAGATGGGGTTGTGTTTGACCCAATATTTTAGCGGGTCTTCACTCCGTGGAATGTTTGGTTCAGCCAAATATCTGGTGAAAAGTAAACATCCATAATTACACAATACAAATGACAGACTTTGCCTGCCTATTACAAGACTTGTTAGAGGAAATCAAATTGAAGTGCTCCCAAATTGCTCTCAAATTGAAGTGCTCCCAAAGCTCCCAAATCTCGGAGCGACCTCTCTTTGCCACAGGTTCCATTGTAAATTTGCGCTTTGCTATGACTACTACAACAACACTGACTTTGACTGTATCAAACCGACAAGCCCGAACCCTGTTTCGAGCTCATTTGAATCAAATCGAAGCGGTCACGTGACTGTGCGCAGGAACAAAGCTTCGGACGTCACTGAGCCGGAACGAGGCTTCGGACGTCACTGATCACGTGATCAGCAGCGAACGAACCGAGCATCGATACATTTGCTTCGTCTTGCACTTGTGGCAAGCGTGAGGTGGGGTAGGAACTACCCCAATAATCTATGTTTTTAACTAGGGGAAAAAGAAAGAAACTAAAGGAAACCAGCAACGCCACCCTGGGAGAAATCACCCAGGGAAAAGAAAGAAATCTATGAATAAGGTAAATTACTAAATCTAAACAAAAGGACAACACAAGTTCGTTACACTGAGCAGGCGAGAGACGTGTTTCCAAAAGCATATACACAACAGTTTATTGGGCACAATTCAAATCTAAAAAAAGTTATCCTATTTGTATAAATTATCATGTATTCCAGGGCTGGGGCATTTGTGCTCAAGGTGAGTGAGGGGTGAAAGTATAAACTTAAAATGGGAGCACCACAATCCAAAATTAACACTCCAAACACACAAGGGCAAAGCAAAACAAAGGAGGGGAGTGAATAAGACACTACACACGAAGGGACACCATCACCAAACAGGATCACCAGTGAGGCCCTCAGCACCTGGAATCACAAAGATGGACAGTTAATGGGAGACTGGAAATAAATTCAACAACAATAGAGATCCAATACAAATCAAAAAGAAAGGAAAATATCAAAACAGGTTACAGTTTGAACTCAAAGAACTAAACCATCAAATAATCAAAAAATAGCTACAAAAATAATAAAGAAAAATCTCCCTTGCCATCCACCTCCTATTTCAGGCAGCTAAACATGAAAACATAATACAATAGGCATAAAAATGCGGACAACGGGATTTCCACACCCGAACGCAGCAGCAGGCAAGGTCCGTAAAAAGTGTGGGTTTTATCCCCACACAAAGCAGCAGCAGTCCAAAACGGGTCAGGGCAGTCGGGACCTCAGCGTGGCATAGCTCCGGGACAAAACGAGCAAACACGCAGTCCGACCTGCCAGCGCCTGCACATAAACGCAAGTTTATTACGGTGCAGACTAAATCGCCGACGCGCAATAGACTGCAACATACCAACAATTTGCACAACCCTGCAGAGAGTGCCGAGCGTCTGCCGAACCTGCAGCCAGGTAAACCCGGAAGGGGGAGGTGCGTATCAGCTGTCAGAGAGCGAGCAGATCTACAGGTCCCTCCTTATATAATAAATTAAAGGGGCACAATACTGCGAGTGGGCGGAGCCACTGGAAAAGCAGTCATCCTGCTACACACTCATTCATATTTCGACACAAGCTTCAAAGCAGGAGTTGTCGGAGGTAACAACACTAATGGATATCTACAGGGTGAGAAGTTCATGCTATGAGAAATATGTTCACATGTGTTACAAGTTTGGTGAGGGCAGGCCAAATCATTCGGAAGTTATGAGTCTTGCCAGATTAAGCCACACTCCTTGCGAAGTTCATTACCCCATCTCTTCTCAGGACAATGAGATATCAACACGATCTTGATGTGGGGGGGTAGTGACCCAATAATGATCCATAGAAAATTTCATGACAATCGGACATTGTTCGGACAGCGTTCAGGAGAAATGGTCAAAAACGTGTTTTTCACAAAATTCAAAATGGCGGAAAATCTAGTTAGGTGCATTTGCATGCTTGACGTTTTTGTAGAGCATGTGCAAGAGCACATGTGTGCCAAATTTCAAGTCGATCGGACATCGGGGGCGGAAACTGGCCTAGTGTTTTGCCCTTCAGGCATTTAAGTTGAATTTTTATGCATTTAACTTGGCATACTTTCAGTTTCATGCAGACTCTTATTTTGACATTTGTTTACTGAGCTAAAACAGGAAGTAGTTCATGCAGACTCTTATTTTGACGTTTGTTAACTGCGCTAAACCGGAAGTAGAAAACCACGTTAGAAAATGCGTTAGAAATGCAGACAGTCATTGCGCCAGAGAAAATGCATCATGTCCGTTGACTCCCCAGCAGAAGCATCGCTTGTATGTATAATCCTTGTTCTGACTGAGTTAACTTTGAAGCATATTGATTTTTTGCTGAAAAAGTAATGGTCATGTAAGCTAGGTGGCTTAGCTAATTATAGCATTTTGCTGTTTGCTTCCTAGTTTCACTCTCTCGTCTCTCATCACTCATCTCATGTGTATGGATTCAGCACAATGTGAAGGTAATAAATCTGCATAAGATGAACTCAGGATTTCTTCATGTTCATGAATAGAGAGAGTTTAGCTCACTGTTTAGTTGGAGTTGCTACACCTTAGCGAGAACAGTACATGCGGTACTTTTTACCTTTTCTAGGGGGCGCTGTGGAGACATTTATTCGTACCCAGAGACCCCAAAATTATCAAATTTTTCACCAGTTCTGATATGCATACCAAATTTAACGACTTTTTGAATATGATAAAGGCCTCAAAAAGGGAAAACTCCTTAGAGAAAATAATAATTTCATGAAATACAATAGGTTCCTCTACGACTAGTCGTAGCGAGGACCCTAATAATCAGTTGGTCGATCAGCAGTCAATCTGGACTCCGCCGTACTTCTCCCAGCATCTCCTTCTCGGTCAGTGGGCCGTACCCCCTCTCAGGATCCTCCAGCCGGCTGGACGCCTGTAGTCCCAGTAGTGCTCCCCCCTTCCCTGTTGATCTTGAAGAGGATCTTCCTCAGTCTGAATACCTCCTGCTGGGTGTAGTCTCCAGCGCCCTTCTTGGTGCTGCCATGTCCAGTGGAGCGAGCGAACTTCGGAGAAGTAGTCCTCCAGTCTCAGTCCTCTCTCGTTCTTTGTGGCCAGCAGGAACTCTTTCACCTGCCCTGCCTTATCAAGAATAAGAATAATTTCCATCATAGCGAACAGTAGTATGCTGTTGCAACTCAAAACAATATAATGATGAGTTAATTACATAGATATTACTCACAAGTCCAAACTCAGGTAAATCATTGGAATTAACAGCAGTTACAAGTAATGTCTTCTCCCGTATATATTTATTACCATTTAGATTAATCCATTTAACAGACACTGCATTGTCAATGTCATCAGTTCCAAGGAAAGCCCTTGTCTTTTCTTTCAAATACGACATGTTGCGTATTTCTGAAGTTGGTCCCAACCCACACTCGTTTAGAAAAATTGGGTGTTCAGAATGACTTACATTTTGACAACATTCATACATTTGATTATGCCTTATTAAGGACTTGCAAACGTTTCGAAAATTTAGTTTTGAGGCCCACTGTTTGAAAAAACAATGTTTTGATTCAAATCTCATGCACATGTGACGGACCATTGGTCCCAGGAGTTTTATCTGCGATGGAGCATGAATCAAATAATGCATTTTTGGGATAATGTTATCAGGGAAAAGACTTTTCATATGTTTTAAATGCTGTTCAATTAGTCTTTTCAACTTGCTAATTGTCTGTAGACCAATGACAGGAGCAAACAAAATTTTAACAATTTCTATGAGTTCAACAATTATTTTGTAGTACTCAGTATCTTTAGCTGTATCAATAAGAAATGGCAAAATCTTCAGTAGAACTATCATTTGGCCTGAGGATTGCTTCAATTTATTATCACTTGAAGCTAATGTGCTGTAAGCTATAGGGCTTGGTTTGTCTCTGACATCAAGTGGAGAGTAGGGAGTCTAGTCTAGTTGACCTAAAAGAACTAACTGTTTTAACACGCACTTTATTTCTAATGGAGCAATGCCTTCAAGAATTATATGCATCAAATCCTGAGGTGTTTGTTCAATCAAGTTAAAGCCCGGAAATTCTATCAGCTTGCTTCTTCTGTTAATGCCAAATGTAGTCTTTAAACTGTGTCTAAGATACTCAGTATTTGCCTTCTCAATGTCACTACACTGTCGAACATGTTTTTCTAGTGTCCTTAGCTCAAAATTGTCTTCGTCAAAATACATTTGCATGTCCTCAAACGAACATTCACACTGCCGGCACTTACTATAGGCGAAACCAACACCCTCTTTAAATCCACAAAGCTCATGTTGTGCTAAGGTGTCTCCACATATCGAAACTAATGCTACAAATATATCACGTTCCCCATTCGCAGTTTGAATATTAACACCATCATATAGCATTTCCAAGTCCTCATACAAGCTGCCCAAAATTCCATCCACTCCACAATCAGACCACTCTCTCTTCTTTGCAATAGCAAGTAGACAAATTGCAGCGAGTTTTGATCTATATTTTGGATCAATGTTTCCTAATGTATAATAAAACATTAGTAACTTATTCTTGGAGGCATGAGATCCAAGTGGATTGCAGATTTCAATTTCGTCTGAGTAAATAATTATCTGTAAAGCAGAGGGCCGGGTTGAAAATAAAGGATGTGATTTCATGAGCTCTCCATCTATGATGTCATACAGATAACCACCACTTCTGTATTTTTGCGGCTGATCTATCATTTCTAAAACTTTAAAAAATAGCTGTCCTATACTTTTAATCAGAGGTACGTAATGAAAACATTTGGTTCTTGTGGAGAGGACCCTTTTTGTCCCTTTTTTCTTCAAGCATGCAGTATATCCAACAGAAACCTCCTCTGACTCCACAAAATTGAAATTTTCCTTAATCACGTTGTCCTGCCTGTATGTTGTTGCAACAGAGGAAAATGGATCCTCAATCCGGTCGAATAGTGCCATCGCTTCCTTTTCAAGTTCACTTCCTTGATGTTGCTGGAATACAGTTTATAGCTGACTCCTCAGTTTAGTCACCAACAGGGCTTGATATTGCTGCATTGCTGCCAAGACATCATTCACACCTCTCTGAAAAACAGTCAAGAAAGAAGACCAAATTAAACCCAAACAGTCCAGTTTTAAAATTGTTCCCCACAAAATCTCTTTTATAAATAATACAAATATTAATAAGAGTAACATCAACACAATGATGCTTTTCAGCGAATTGATACAGCATTATTAAAAGTATTCAAAATATGAAATTATCCTAACTAGATAGCAGAGAGCAAATACAAGGCATTATTAAAAATGAAACCTCATGGAGATACAAGTTAGGTTGCAGCTAAGGGAGACTAATTAGGTAACTGTAAACTGACTTGGATTTGACATGCAGATAATCAACAGAGCCACAGATGAAATGAATGTAATGTTGTATGTAGACAAACCTGTGAAAGATGGTGTTTTTCTCTTGCAGTTAACATAATAGCAGCAGCTTGTCTGGTGAGAGTGTTATGCCTGATGTCATCGTTAAAAAAAAAGGGGGGGAAAAGAACGTATAATAAAATACACTGTTGCCACACACACAGATGTGCAGTGATAAAATAGCATTTTATGACAATCCAGTTGAGATTTCTTTTTGAAATGGTGAGACATAAACAAAAAGATTGATAATAAAGCTTAGCTGTGTACTGAAGGAAGCAACAGACTTACCTCTGACTGACATGATGCAGAAGAGTCTACAGCAGGACATGATCCAACAGTCATTACATCTTGCACCCTGTTTTCCACCACTGCTTCATCCGTTTGATGCTCTCTGATTTGCACCGTCGCATCAGCTGGCCTGTATGTCCACGCATTCACCGCTGAAGAGGCTTCCGGGCTTGCTGTTGACCTCTCTCTCCGTGAGTTGCTGCTGCCACTTTCAAGGTGTTCGTAGTGGTTTCTTGTAATGTGATACCATAGAGCAGCGGTGCCCAAACTTTTTTTCCTGCGCACCCCCTTCCATGTCTCAACCGGGTTGGCGCACCCCCAATTCACACTTTAAAAAAAACGCAACAAAACTCTGTTTTATCGTCATATAGACTCATGTTTAAACATGCGCAAATAACCACAACACGCATGACAATAACAAAATCAACACAGGCTGAATTAAAATGCAATGAATTACAAACGATCCACAACATTAAAAAGAATAGGCTCCGAAATAGATAAAATAAATAAAAACGGAAACTTCAAGTGCGACAATAAAATTAGCCTACACACGATCCACAACATAATTAAGTAACAAAGAGCGGCTCAAACATAAACTAAATTAAAAGACGATAAAAGAGAATCCATCTGGAAGTCTAGCGCAAAAGTCGCTCAGCCTGCAGAGAGAGAGAGAGAGAGAGAGAGAGAGAGAGATTTTTTTTGATTTTTGAAAAACCTTTATTTTCTTTAAAACGCACAAACATGTCACATACACGACAACGCTGAAAAATTCAAAAGCTTGAGCTGCCCGTCGATTTGGCTGCTGGCTCCACTCCTCAGTTATTCCCCACCAGCATCTCCTCTTGCGTCAGCCGGCCAGGATCCTCCTCCACCGGATGGACGCCGCACTCAGTCCACAGAAGCACCTTCGCTTCCCCTGTTTATCTTCAGGATGATCTTCCTCATCCGGAAGACTTCCTGCTGGGTGTATCTCCCACTACCCTTTTTGCTCACACCGTTCCGAGCAGTGCGAGAGAACTTCTCTAGGTCAGAGAAATACTCCTCCATGTCCACCCCCTTCATGTTCTTTGTTACCTTCAGGAAGAGCTTCACTCTCCCCACCCCGTACCTGCTGGTCACTGTCCCACCAGAAGAGGCGCTGTCAGTGGAATCCCAGTCAGCAGAGGACCCGGGTTCACCCGCTTTCCCTCTTGTGCTCCTTCTGTTTTCTGACCCTTTCTTGGCTCGAGAGGCTCCTCCGCTGCTCCTCGTCTTCCTTCTCTTCAGGGGGGCTTTACGTTCCTCCTCCTCCCCCTCCATGTCATCGGCGCTGCTTTCAGACTGCATTTCCTCAGCACGTGTCTCTTGACTTTTTTCCAGCTTCTCCTGCCCTTCTTCACCCCCCAGAACCACCTGTTGAACCCCACTCACACCTTCCCTTCTCTCTTGGCTGAGCCGTCTGACACCACCTGTCTCTTCATTCACCCCCACACTCACCTGGCCCACCTGTTGGGCCTCAATCAGCCCCTCAGTCACTCTGTCGCCCCCCTGGCAGGCCGGCTGGACTCCACCACACCCTCCATCTTCTCCCCTCTCACACACCTCACTCTCCGGCTGAACTTCACTTGTCCCCTCCCCACACATTCGCCCTACCTGTTGTCCTCCACTTGTCCCTTCCTGGCCCCCATCACTCGCCTCCCCACCCTGCTGGACCCCACCAGTCCCCTGCTGTCCGTTCTCGGCCGCCTGCTTGACCCCACCTGTCTCTTCCTGTGCCTCCTTTCCCTCCTGTTGTACCCCACC